CCTTATAGTCCCTCCCTATTTTCCTGTAGTTTAAGTAATAAAGTGGTCTTTATGTTTAAGTTAGAGCCTGTTTTGCTTATTCCTGGTCACATCTCACAGCAGACACCAGGGTGAGGCATTTTCATGGGGGGCACTGGCTCTGTGCCAGGCTCAAACCATGACAACCCAGAAGAGCAACAAGCACTGCTGCAGTGGTCCAGGCCAAGCCAGGGCTGCTCTGGCCCACCAGCCTGTCTCTGGCAGTGGCCAGCAGAGACTGCCTCAGGAAGTGTGCTAGAACAGAGCCAACAAGTTTGGCTTGTTCCATTCAATGCAAACATCACCTACAGCATTTTGTGGCTCAGAGTCTTTCTGTGCTCAATAACCAGCAACTGACTTTGCTCCCAAGCATGTGCCCAGGCTATCCTGGATGGTGGTGAGCTGCTCCTCAACTTTGGTGTCTTTTGTGTGCAGAATCACTGCTCTAGTTTGTGAACCTAATGTGCTTCTGCAAATATGTAAAGCTTCAGAGCAAGGGAACAAAAGTGTTGATCAGAGCTACTGTTTTAGTGTTGGCCCACAGAGCATCGAGAAGGGAGTGCAAGTCAGCTCCAGCTGCCTGAGGATAAACCCCTCAGAAAGGACTGGGTGAAAACAAAATCACGCCACAACAGTTCTAACTTGTGGCTTGTAACTGACAGCCTAAGAACTGCTGAACTGGAGGGAGCTCACCTTAGGAATGACGTAGTCTCTGAAGCTGGTGTCTTTGGTCACAGTGTGAGGGAGAGCCAGGGGGACAAGAGAGATGAAGCGCTGGATTTCATGGACCACGGCGTCTGTGTAGGGCATCTGGGTCCGGTCAGCCACACAGGGTTTTCTTGATCGTCCTACTACCTGGTCAATCTCTTCTTGAATTTTCTCTGTCATGAGAGGCACAAATCATCAAATGGGTAAATAAAACCAAACCCATCTAAATAGGTTGCTGTAAACTAGTAACAAATCTCAGATGGCAGGAGCATTAAGTTGATTTTGATGTTGACTGGAACACAGCTAACACTTCTGCCCATGCAAAGAAACTTGCATTGATTTGGCTAAATAAAGATGTGGACACAGTCTCAGAGAGAGAAAGAGAGAGAGAGAGAGATATGAAGGGAAAATCTGGGACAAGGATGTGGTGTTAGTCATGTGCCCAGCCCAGGGGAACAGCTAGAGAGGAAGAGGTCACAAACTGGTACCTTGAATCTTTGGATATTTGAGAAGAAGCAGGAGCCCATATCGTACAGTGGTGCTTGTTGTCTCAGTTCCAGCAAGGAACAAGTCGAAAGCACTTGTTATCAGGTTCTTCATGTGGAAACTGGAATTGGGACGATCTTTCTCCTAAGGAAAAGGCTTTGTTTTTCCTCTGGCTGAGATGAGAGAAAGTGGCCCTTTCACGTGTCATCTCAGACCTTTGTTTTCTCCTAGAGCTGTGGCATTTCTCTGCTAAGGGGCCCCAGCCATCTGGGGCATTGCAATGCAGCCTTGAGCAGTAAACTCAATACCAACCTCCTTTTAGGCTGTGCACTGAATGGAACTCTACTGCTTGTCTGCTGTGTCTAATGCTTTCCAGTGAAAGAATTGCAAGACCAGACTGAAAAAGTCCCTGTGTTTTGGTGAAAGCAGAGGAAGCTCTTGCTCTCCAAACAGTAGTGGTGGCTGGTGAGCACGCAGACCCAGAGCTGTAAGCTCTAACACAGGCAGTATCTGGGGTATTGTTGCTGTTTTCCCATTGCACAGCTGACTGGGAAGGGGTCATCCCCATGTCTGTGTTACTTATGAGAGGAAAGGACTCAGCATAGGTGTGTTTGGGGACAAACTGGGGCCATCTTCTCCTTACCTCCTGAATTTTGCTGAGGAAACAGTCGATGAAGTCCTGAGGGGAGTTGGGATCTAGGGAGGCTTGGTGCAACTTCACCTCCTCTGCTACAAAGGCTTTTAGAGCATCAAATTCTCCAAATATATTGTTGTGTGGGCCAGGCAGGTAATCCATGATATTTGAGAACATCTGGTAGAGCTGGAAGGAAAGAAACAGGAAGGTCCCTAGTATGACATTTGCCCCATCCTTTGATACTAACCAAATGCCCAGAAAAGCCACAACCCTGTCAGCTGAGCCAAGCAGAAGGACTATGAGGCTGAGCAGTCTGGCGGGACTTGCGTAGAAGTAGTAGTAGTAGTAGTAGTAGTAGTAGTAGTAGTAGTAGTAGTAGTAACCTTAGAAGTGGAGAAGAAAGTTGTCCAGGGCTATTGGGAACTATTGTACTTAGCTGGCAAAGCCAATTCCAGCTTTGGCGAGGGAGTTTCTTGCTCTTGAATGAAATGCCTTCAGTGCAGCAAAGCATTGATGGGGTCCTACTTAGAAGACTGAAATGGAACTTCATTGGGAAGGAGGCCTCCTGCTTCCCTGGGAGAATGTCGCCACTGTGAAATGCCTACTGAACGTACCTGTCCCCAGCGGGAGTTGATCATCTCAAAGATGTTGTTCATGTTGTCCATCAGAGCCAGGAACTTCTTGTCTTTATAATCATATCGTTTCCCAAAGACAATGGAGCATATGACATTGGAGACAGAACAGCTCAGCATGAAGGTTGGGTCAAAAGCTCTTCCTGTGATTTCAGAAACGTTACAGACTATTAAAAAAAACCCCATGAAATGTTGTATGTCTACTTATGGCTACTGCGGGTAATCTGAACTCCAGTTGTTAGTGGAAATATCAGATCAGTCTCTGAGTGACATAGAAGGGTCCTCCAAACAGAACAGGACATGATCACAAAATTATTTCGGCTTCATAATGAGGGGTAGCTGGTGCATGGACCAAATCCATAGGAACTTCATTCCATGCTAAATAAGTGAGCTCCCTTAATAGAGCCTATTTTTTCAAACATAAGATATATTAAAAATGGATTGTACCCTTTGTTTTGTTGATCTCTTCCAGCAAGTAGTCAGATTCCTCCTGTATCCTCTCTTCAATGCTCCTCTTCCCCATTCCAAAGTTCCGCAGAGTGGTGAGAGAAAACCGCCGGACTTGTAACCATAGCTCATTGTTGCTAAAAACAATCCCTGCAGAAGAAGAAAGAAGAGGAAAGACATGTCCCGGGCATGCTGGCTGTGAGATGAACAGTGGCTCATGGTGACAGTGAATCCTGTCCCTGGAGAGCACTGACATGGCAGCGTCGCAGCGTACTGTGGTTTGGAGGTTCTGTAGTCCAACTGCCTGCTTTTGGTCTTCTCCACTGCATGCCCAACATCCTTGTGAATAATTCATACTCGCCCATACACAATTTTCCTTACTGCAGCTGTGGGTTGCTGCCCCTTGCCATTTCCCTGCCCATCTTTGAGAGCAATCTGGCTCCCCTTCTCTGCCACCTCCCACCCTCTGAGTGGCAGTAACCTTCTCTGGCTTCCCCTCTCCAGGTGGATTGCACCCACCCCATGCAGTTTTCCCTCATGCAAGGTACACTCCAGCTCTAATCTGCTGATCACATGCTCAGCCCTTCCCTTCTCCTTCAGAAGCTCAGCCAGCAAACATACCTAATCCATTGTTAGCCCTGTCTCCAATTGGCATGTGTCCCCTGGAAGCAAACTCATCTGCGCGATCGACCAAGGCTTCTTTCACCACATCGTATCCATGCAGCACCACCACTGGGTCAGAGCCCAGGTGCACTGTGAACACGGGTCCATACTCTTCACTGAGCTGTAAAAATGCAAGAGAGAACATGGCCATGGAGCAAATAGTGAGGAAGAGTGGGGAAATCTCCTTGCTGCTGCCTCCCACAGCAGGCAGTTAGCCTCACACATTGGTAACATCAAGATTTGGGTCTCTCATGATAAATGTGGCTGTGCAGATGGGTCCCAC